GCAGTCTATGCATTTTCTGTAGGACATGTTTTTCTTACCCTATCAGCCGCTTCACAAGACTTACTGACAAAAAATCCCGTCCACTACATAAAGGTAGAATGCTAACTTTTCGCGTCTTACGCGGTTTCCAGCAGGAACACTAGTTGGTAGAAGATAATTGAGCACTCCTCATTTTTCTTGCCTTCTAGAACGACGCAGAAGCCGCACACAACCTGCCCCACGGGAGTGGTAAATCCTCTGCGCGACCGCCCAGCTGCGGTGGCTGATGGTAGTGGCGGCAAACTGCGTGAGAAGGCTGATCAGAACACGAGATTCTTCGACAAAAAGAGCAAACTCAGCAAGGATCCGCCGCGTCCTCCGGTTCGAGTAGCTAAAGGTATGCGCTTACATCTGGCCCTTTCCGTTGTTCATTATTTGAGCATATGGATTTGAGTAGATTAATTTACATATGATGCACAGAGAGTTGGTCTATTATCCAGGCCCTTTTTCATTTTATTGTAACTTGGTAACAATGTACACTGGAGTCTCGGGTAACGAGCAGCTCTACCTACGAACATTTTAGGTAACGAGCGAGCCACTGACGACTTTCCACCTAGTTAGCGAGGTGCTAGTGCGTATTCCCGCCATTGGGTCTTGCCCCCTGGGTCCTCGGTCGCCCGCAGCCAACCAGTGAACTGATGCGGTTTGATTGGCTACGTTTTGCAGGACGGGCGTCTCAGAGGACGAGCTCGGTGCTGGAACGGCTTAAACTCATTAACCGAGGTTCCACCGTAAAAGCCAGATCGGAGCCTTCTGCCTCTCCAGGCATCGCTTGGTTTGGTAGTGGTATAACTTTAATTCATCGCTCCTGGCCAAAACCTGTCCAAGTTTCAAATGAGTGGGTAATTTAACTACCGGCAACGTGATTTTAGTTTGCGTCGTCGTTCGCACTGACAGTGACGGCCTGAACAAATATGCTTACTGTCCGTCGGAGTTTCCTGCTAGGCCTTCGGAAGTCTAACCACTGATGCAGTAACATTGAATGTGATA